GTTTCGTCAAATAACTGATATGGTTCTGACATGGCACCATTTTCAAGAACGGCAATGAAATCAACATTTCTTGTCATAAAATACGTTCTAACACCCAACCAACATGATCGACACCACCCAATCAACATTTCGTCAAATAACTTTTTATTATTACCATTCGGTAAAATGATGTAATGTGTTTTAGTCAAAAAGAAACTGCTGCGGTCTATTACCTACAAGACAAAGTCAAATGGTAAAATAGTCAGTGCTACACGCGGCTTTTGCCTATTGGCTTTTGCTTGGATGGCCTAACTGCGGGTCATCTGCCAGATTGCCACCAAAACTACTAGAATGGGAAGGAATAATGGTGAACGGAAGGGGAGAAGTCTTTCATTCAAGAATGGAAAGGAAGCAGAATAAGTTCGAGAAGATGTTGGCATAGCCACGAGGAGCTGTTGGGGGTGAGAGTCTGAGAGAGGAATGACCGGTTCGCTGTGAGTTAGGGTTCCCGTAAAGTCTAAGCATCTGGGTACGGTTTTTATTCTCCAATTCTATTTTCCATTCTCTCCAATTCGATCTTATCGCCAAGTTTCTATTTTTTTTTTCTTTCGTTGTTCTTTATTGTTTTTGTTGTTGGCTTAAACCCACTGGGTTTCTTCTCTGTTAGCTGTTGCAAATGTGCTTGAGTTTACTATTTCGTAGATGTTCATTATTTAATCATTTCCTAAAAAAGTATAGTGTTCATTGGTGGTGGATATGAAAATGCTCAGTTAATTTTTTTCTTTTTCTTCTTCTTGTCTTTGTGCAGTTAGACTTTGATAGGAATTGGGTGACCAGGGCTAGCATTTGAAGCTGATTGAAGAAGTGGGTTTCGGTTGAAGTTAAATCGAGTCGCTTGGGAATTGATATTGATAATAATGTCTTGGTTCAGAGCTGCTTCTAGTGTGGCAAGATTAGCTGTTAGGAGGAATTTAGTTCAGACAGGGTCTTATGCGACGAGGGTAAGGGCGCTGCTTCCATCACAGAATCGATACTTTCACTCCACCGTCTTTAAACCCAAGGCACAAGCTGCGCCTGTTCCTCGTCCCGTGCCCCTCTCGAGGTTAACAGACAGCTTCCTTGATGGCACGAGCAGTGTCTATTTAGAAGAGCTACAGAGGGCCTGGGAAGCTGACCCCGATAGCGTGGATGAATCATGGGACAATTTCTTCAGAAATTTCGTCGGGCAGGCCGCCACATCGCCTGGAATATCTGGCCAGACGATCCAAGAGAGCATGCGCTTGTTGTTACTCGTCAGAGCATACCAGGTTAATGGCCACATGAAAGCCAAGTTGGATCCTTTGGGCCTGGAGGAACGTGAGATCCCTGATGATTTGGACCCGGCTCTCTATGGGTTCACAGAAGCTGATCTTGATAGGGAATTCTTCCTTGGAGTGTGGAGGATGTCGGGCTTCCTGTCTGAGAACCGTCCAGTGCAAACCCTTCGTGCCATACTAACGCGCCTTGAACAAGCCTATTGTGGAAGTATTGGCTATGAGTATATGCACATTGCTGATCGTGAGAAGTGTAATTGGTTGAGGGACAAGATCGAGACACCAACCCCTAGGCAATACTACCAGCAGCGTCGAGAAGTAATTCTTGATAGGCTCATATGGAGCACTCAGTTCGAGAACTTCTTGGCCACAAAATGGACAGCTGCAAAGAGGTTTGGCCTTGAAGGTGGAGAAACTTTGATTCCTGGTATGAAAGAGATGTTTGACCGAGCATCTGATCTTGGGGTTGAGAGCATTGTTATTGGCATGTCACATAGAGGAAGGCTGAATGTACTGGGTAATGTGGTCCGAAAGCCACTTGCTCAAATCTTCAGTGAATTCAGTGGTGGTACAAAGCCTGTTGATGAAGTTGGTCTTTACACGGGAACTGGTGATGTTAAGTATCATTTGGGTACTTCTTATGATCGGCCAACAAGGGGTGGGAAGAGAATTCATCTGTCTTTGGTTGCTAACCCTAGTCATTTGGAAGCTGTTGATCCAGTTGTAATTGGAAAAACCCGAGCAAAGCAATATTATTCTAACGATAATGAAAGGACAAAGAATATGGCAGTATTGATTCATGGGGATGGAAGCTTTGCTGGACAGGGTGTTGTTTATGAGACTCTGCATCTCAGTGCTCTCCCCAACTACACAACTGGTGGGACCATCCACATTGTGGTGAACAACCAGGTGGCTTTCACAACTGATCCAAGATCTGGTAGATCTTCACAGTATTGTACTGATGTTGCAAAAGCCTTGAATGCCCCTATATTCCATGTAAATGGTGATGACATGGAGGCAGTGGTTCATGTCTGTGAGCTTGCAGCTGAGTGGCGCCAGACATTCCACTCTGATGTAGTGGTTGATATAGTGTGTTACCGGAGATTTGGCCACAATGAGATTGACGAGCCATCTTTCACGCAACCTAAAATGTATCAAGTGAGTTCTTCTATTCTTCTTGTGTATAATAACATTTGTTTATTATTTCTTGAAGAAACAAGGCATTCTTTTATTGCATACATATACTACTGAAAGTTTATTAATTGAATTCTGGTGTTGTTGATGTATTTGGGCATTAACAGATCATTCGCAACCATCCATCTGCTTTAGAGATTTACCAGAAGAAACTCCTTGAGTCTGGGCAAGTCACACAAGAAGACATTGACAATATACACAATAAGGTTATCTCCATTCTTAATGAAGAGTTTTTGAGCAGCAAAGACTATGTCCCAAAAAGAAGGGACTGGCTTTCAGCTTACTGGTCTGGGTTTAAATCACCCGAGCAGCTTTCACGTGTACGGAACACTGGGTATGTTTGGTACATTTTCTGTTTTCTCAAGGATAGCTTTGAAGCTATTTAACTGAAGTTACTATTTGATTGGTTATACAGGGTTAAACCTGAAATACTGAAGAATGTTGGAAAAGCAATCACCACCATGCCAGAAAATTTCAAGCCTCACAGAGCAGTAAAGAAGATTTTTGAGCAGCGTGCTCAAATGATTGAAACAGGGGAAGGCATTGACTGGGCTGTTGGGGAAGCACTTGCTTTTGCTACATTGCTAGTTGAAGGTAATCATGTTAGGCTGAGTGGTCAGGATGTTGAAAGAGGTACATTTAGTCATCGACATTCAGTAATTCATGATCAGGAAACTGGGGAGAAGTACTGTCCCTTGGACCATGTTATCATGAATCAAAATGAAGAGATGTTTACTGTGAGCAACAGGTGCTATTCAACAACTTATCTACATTTGATCTTTTATCTTCCATCAGATTTGCAGGTCATTAATTATGAATTTTCTTTCATTTCATGGATTAAATTGTACATTCATGTCTATACTGGTGGATGATATGATGAATTTATTCTTTTCAATAGTATGATCATGTGTAGGAATCACAATTGTTCCATAGGGAAATCTTATTTTGCACAATGTCTTTTGACATGTTGAGTGCTTTTTATTTTTTGGCCTGCTGCACACTCTGGTGAGAAGTTGGGTGGTTCTATTTTATTGGAAGAGCTTCAGTTATTTATCAAAAAAACAAAAGAAGTCTTTTGGTATGTTGTGTTATTGATAAATATGATGTTCCACAAGATTTCTAGTTCTACCTCTTTGAAATCTTCTTTCTAGGTTGTTTTTTATTCCATTTTTGGGCACTTCATGCATGGTTTATTTCAAGTGTTGACCTGCTATGGGTTCCATTGTGGTAATTATACTTCCTGTTGAAGATCAGTTTTTATAGTATATTTGGAGATCTTTTTTTTGGTAGTCTATTAGGAGATCAACTTTTCAACTACTGAGGTAGAATCCTATAAAACCTTCTAGGTCCATTGGAGTTCACATTGACATCATATTCTACGCTGCTGCATGTCTTCCTTATGATTGGTTCCTTGCATCAAGAATCACAATCATGCCTATTAGGTCATAGTTTTCAATGTTCGCCTGGAAGCTATACATGGTATATTGCCTTCCTTCCTATTCTTCAGGTATAATGTTTGTGTGGGTTACAAAGTGTGTTCTTGGGAAGATGTTTGTCTTGGGAAAACCTCTCTTAAGGATAGATTCCCCTCTATTTATTCCCTTTCTTTTAAATGAGTGGAAAGTTATTTCTTTTGTGTGTGTTAATGGGGATTCTTAGGACTTGGGCTAAGGAGAGGACTGGGGGAGACTGAAATGGCGGCTATTGATGGATTTATTTCTTTCCTAAGTACAGTGTTTTTGGATTATTCTTGCTTGGATAGTAGAATTTGGTCGGCTTCCCCTTAAATTATTTAACTTGTTCTTCTTTCTTCAATGTACTGGGAGGCGATGTAATCCTATGCATTAAAAAATATGGACCTTCTACTGGGAGGTGATTCTCGAATGAATCAACACTATTGATGTGCTTTAAAGAAGAAGGCCGAATTGGTGCCTTTCACCCCATACTTGTATCCTTTGCTTAGGTCATGGTGAAATGGCAACACACCTATTAACCTCTTGTTGATTTGTGTCTTTTATTTGGGTTTGGTTCTCTTTTCGCTTTTGTTGCAGGTGGACCCCTTCCTCAGATGTGGTGGGCCTGAACACAAGTAGGGTTGTCAATTGCACCAGATTTGGTTCAATCTGATCCGGTCCAATATGAGTCCATTGCAAATGGACCAGGTCCAATCCAATCTGATGAATACTTTGGACCATTTTGGACCAGTCCAATTCAATGTCTAGACCGTCCAATCTATTCAATTTGGTTTTAGTTTATATTTGTTCCAATCCAAATCTGGTTCATTGACATCTGTATTCTTATCGTCTATGAATGGACCGGATATTGGTTAAATCTAACCTAATCCAATATAAATCCGTTATGGATGGACTAGGTCCAATAAATACTTTGGTCCATTAAGTCTGGACTGGTCCAATTCATTATGTCTTGTTGGTCTGTCCAATCTGTCCAAATTGATTTTGATTTAGACAGAGTCCAATCCAAAACCAGTCTGTTGACACCCTTAGACACAAGCTTCTTTAGACGACTAAAGAAGAGGGGAAGATTAATGTGGAGAGCCATCAAGGTAGTACATTGGTTAATAGAATTTTTCATGGGCAAGAAAACTCTTAAGGAGGAAGTTATTGACTGCATAACCATCAAGATAGTACATTGGTTGAAAACCCTTGATTTAGCACAGAATTCCCAGATGACGATATAATGAATGGTGGAAGTGTAGTAGCAGGTTCTTCATCCTCAAAGCCTATTTATTCAGGAAAGCTGAATCCCTTCAACACAACAAAGGGTAAAATTGAATTTTGATGGAAGTTTCATAGGTAACCCCAGTCCATCTACTGTTGGGCAAGTGTTAAGAGATGAAGAAGGAAAAATGCTGGCTCTTTATTCAAGACCAATAAGGGTGGGTGATTCACTAAGGGCTGAGGTAATGGCCCTACACCAAGGATTGAGATTGGCTAAGTAGATGGGCCTCTAACTAATTGAGGTGGAGAGGGATTCTAAGTTGGTGATAGGGTGGATCCAAACGAATAACTTGCGGATCTAGACCCACAGACAGATTGTAAGGGAAATCAAATGCCTAGCAAGGGAGATTGTGGTGAACTTTAGGTGGGCTAGAAGGTCGGCAAATGGACTGGCCACTGTAGCAAAACAAGGGACTATTAGGGAGAAAATGTTTTGGGCCATTTTATAATACTGAGATACTTTGAGGGGTCAGCACACTTTTCTTGGGTTGTTGAAAAAAAAAACCAAAAACTCCTTGATCTCAGCTCTAACGAGTCACCTTTCCTGTAAGAACAGAGAAGACAAGAACAATTTTAAACGCACCATCCCCACCCCACCCCCCAAAAAAGGGAAAAGCCTTTCTGCCCTCCTTGAACTCCGGGTGCCCCAGATTATGAGAATATCCATCGGTTGACTAGGAATTTGTTGTTGTTGTTGTTGTTGTTGTTGTTATGATGATGTGAGACCTAACCTTCCTGCACCATAGAGGAAGGTACAGGTAGAAGTTCATTGTTGCCACTATCTTGTAAAAATTGTAATAATGTTGTAAATTGCAGACATTGCCAAATTCAATTATGAACTATATAGTAAATTGTAACATTTTTTTCTGTTTCTTAGAAATTTGTCAGAATTTAAAAGCATATATGGTAATAGAAAAAAGTGATCTTGCCCCATATTTAATCCATGTCTAGCATAAATTTACTTGATACAATAGTTTTTCCCACTCATACGCTGAAGTGTAAAATGATATAATAACTCTTTAGCATATGGAAAGCAAACTCAATAAGGTTTATAGGTTTTAATAACTTCTATAAATCTTACTCCAACCCCTTAAAAAATACAAAAGAAACAAAGGAATGACAAAGTAGATAACTAGGTCTCAATTGAATTTGATTTCAATTGCATGAATATATAAACTGTAGAATCATAAATAAAATTATAAATTCACACAATCCCAAGTCTTTTCAAAGTTATAGACATAAGATTGGCATCAAAACCATTGGGATCTATGACTACAAGTGTGAATCATATCGTAAATTATAAGTTTTCGACAACTATATTGCATTAATTTGGTTGCATAGCAGAGAACAAATATTCTCCAATGGCAATGATGACAGAGACTCTGGAGGAAGGGATTTCAATTTGAGCATTTTAAATGTGGACATTTTTTGTTTTCGTCCTAGGAGTGGGTAGTTTACCATTACCCTTACTTCAGCATTATCATGTTGGTTTAATGCTGAGTATTAATACAGCGTTGAGCTTTAAAGATTTTGTCATTTTGATTTTTTTGTATCATTTTGATTTAATGTACAGCTATTTAAAGCTGTTACTCAAAAATCTGAGAAATATCTTATAATAGTTTTCTTTTACCCCCCCCCCCCCCAAGACCCTATTTAAATCCTGCTCGTGTTAACCATTAAATTTTCTTATTCATAAATTCAAATAACCCCTGAGATAAAGTTCATAAATTTTAAACTCTGTAGTCAGTATTCTAATACCTCCAAGCTGTAATTTTCTGTTGCTTTTCTTCTGAAGATTAATACTTAATTTGGATTCTAATATACTGAAACATTTGTTATTGTTGTTTTTTCCCCTTCTCCCCACCCCATCTGCAGCTCTCTTTCAGAGTTTGGTGTTCTTGGGTTTGAGTTAGGTTATTCAATGGAAAACCCAAATTCCTTGGTAATCTGGGAAGCTCAGTTCGGTGATTTTGCAAATGGTGCTCAGGTGATATTTGATCAATTCTTGAGTAGTGGGGAATCAAAGTGGCTACGCCAAATTGGGCTCGTTGTGCTGCTTCCTCATGGGTATGATGGTCAGGGTCCTGAACATTCTAGTGCACGACTGGAGCGATTCCTTCAGGTATTGTCTAACTATTGGATTTTCCTCGTGCCTAAAATATATGGTAGTGCTTATTGGGCTGTAGAGTTGCATCATGGCTATCCAAACCCAACCATAGGAAGTGAACATTCAAAAAGTAATGAAACCCAAAATGAGCTGTTCCACTTGAAATCAAACTTGAGTTTGATTCATTCAACCACATCCTTCCCCAGATTAGTTGGGTTATGACAGTGATTTAAAAGGCGCACCTAGGTGCACAGGTGAGGCGCATTTTGGGGTATGCACCTTGCCTAGGTCCTAGGTGCACCCCTTTCAAAAGGCGTGTGCCTGGTGTGTCTAGGCGTGCGTCTGATGCGCCTTGCGCCTCAGCCCAGGCGTGCGCCTTTTTGCTTTTTTTTGAGTATAACAACTGGGCCGGGGGTTCCGCCCCTGGACCCCCGACCATGCCCCTCGAGGCAAGCCTGAACAAGTCTATGTTAGGGTCTGAAATTCTTATTTCTCACATAAAAAATAATGATTTTATAACTTTCATTGCCTTTTAAGAAGATATTTTATTG